TATATATATATATATATATATATATATATATATTTATAATAATCATAGTTTTATGACTTTCAATATTCTTGTATTTTTTATTTTAGTTTTTTTTTTAGAGGTTAGGTTAAAAAAATTATTTTTAATAATTATTATTATTTTTATTATTATTATTATTTCAATGAAAATAATCATAAACTATGATTTTCAATATTTCTGTATTTTTCATTTTAGTTTTTTTTTTTTAGGTTAGGTTAAAAAAAATTATTTATAATAATTATTATCATTATTATTATTATTATTATTATTATTATTATTATTATTATTTTAATGAAAATAATCGTAAACAATTATTTTCAATATCCTTTGTATTTTTTATTTTAGTTTTATTATTAGATTATTAATTGATTAAAAAAAAAAAAATTTTTTTTGAATATTAAATTTTGTAAAAACTGAATTAATTTGATTCATTACAATTAATACGAAATTTGATTTGAATTAAATTTGTAATGTTATCGTTTGTATCGTTTAATAAATTTATTGATTAGAAATTCCGATAGATGTGAAAGTTCTTTATTTTCTTTAGTAACGGTCTTGAAGAAAATGTCGAGCGTAGTATACACTTGAATGTTTCCTAGCGGGACGTTGTAGAAATGGAGGTCGTACATACCAAGTCGTCCGTAACGTTTTACAAGAAAGAAATAAACACACACACACACACACACAAGAGAAAATCGTAATATATTTTCTACAATAAAAACGACGAAATCTAAATAATAACAATATGTATATTTTTATTTAACACAATATAATATTTAAATTTAATGTAAATTTAATCAAGTTTTTGATTAGATTCGTCATTGGATGATTAAATAGTCGAATTCTTTTTGTAATTTACAAAATATAATTATACGATCATATAATATAATAATATAATAAATTATATTAATTTGTACATATATGTAGGGAAATCAATTGTTCTGTATCCGGCTAAGGATATCTAATTCCCCCCGTGTTGCCGACACTACTTGAGATATAAAAGATACTCTTTATTCTCACAAATTATTGCTTATTACAGTTACAATTACCCTTACAATAACAATTACAATAACGCTTCGCAACTTTTCGCACTCACTCAGACCTCACAGAATCCCTACTCACTCGCTACTCTCTACTCACTGTTCTTCCTCGTTCTCGTCACTCAGTTCTCTCCACGCTACTCTCTCGGAAAAACAACCCCCGACGCGTGACCGTCCTCTCCTTATGAGGTTTCTCCCCCACCCCGCATGTTCCCAACGCACTCGGACCCTTGGACCCACACCGACTAACACACACAACATGTCGAACCTTTGGACCYACACCGACCTACACACACAACCTCTCGGACCTTTGGACTCACACAGACTTACACACACAACCCCTCGGACCTTTGGACTCACACAGATTTACACACACAACCTCTTCGATTTTCAACACACCCCACANTAGCGTATTCAAGTGCTAGAGATCCCACGTGGTGTAGCAATTCGACTTATCTACTCTAATTTTGAATTTAGCCACCAGATAGCGTATTCAAGTGCCAGAAATCCAACCAGTGCTGTCAGATCGTGGGTAAATCTTACCCTCTCCCTGTGCCACTGGGATTGCACACAATGAAAGTTTTCCATGTCCGTGTGTTTGGGATGTCGAGGAAAGCCGAGTGTAACCGAAGTTGGCGGGCACGCCGGAGTGGCACACTATGAAATAGAGTCACACACTATGACACGGAATGGACACGAGTCGCTTTCATAGTGTGCCACTCCGGCGTGCCCGCCAACTTCGGTTACACTCGACTTCTTTCGACATCCCAAACACACGGACATGGATAACTTTCATTGTGTGCAATCCCAGTGGCACAGGGAGAGGGTAAGATTTACCCACGATCTGACAGCACTGAATCCAACGTGGTGTAGCAATTCAACCTATGTACTCTAATTTTGAATTTAGCCACCAGATAGCGTACTCAATTGCTAGAGATCCCACGTGGGGTAGCAATATTCGAATTATGTACTCTAATTTTGAATTTAGCTACCAGATAGCGTACTCAACTGCTAGAGATCCCACGTAGGGTAGCAATATTTAAAATATGTACTCTAATTTTGAATTTAGCCACCAGATAGCGTATTCAAGTTCTAGAGATCCCAATATTTAAAAATGTAGGTTTCGTTTATTCCTAACCTCTGATCTTCAAAAGTGTTTTATTAATTGTTTTGAAATTTTGACACAACGTTGCATTTGCATACAGCTAGGTTTTTATTACATTAATTTATTTATAAAATAATGAATTAATCTAAAAAGAAAAAGATA